CAGTCCGGCAGACAAACACCGCACTGCGCCTGCGCTCGGATGACCCCGCCGAGCCGCCGTCTCGCCCCACATGGCGCATGCCCGCGGCGCGCACCCGCCCTTCCCCGCGTGCGAAACTCCGCGCGTGCGTGCTTCGTCCCAGCCGGAGGGATGACGCCACCTAGAGCTCGCGGCTGGCAACGTGCGACCTTCGCCCCACCACAGAACCGTGATGCGCATGCGCAAGTTCCCGAGCGCGCCGGAGAGAGGCGCTGCGTGAAAACCCACCGTTCTTTAGCGAGCGGTGGGCGGGGAAAGCCGCGCGCATGCGTAGAGGAACGACACGTTCGCGTGCGAGGCTAGAGCCTTATTTCTCTGCGCATGCGCGTTCCTGGCGCCTCTTTCCTTTGCAGCCGTCACCCCTGGTTCCCTCGGCGATGCATCTTCGGCCTCCCCTTCGCTCTTCCTGGTCCAGCCTTTTCTGGCAGCCGCTTCGTCTCATAATCACCTCTGACAGTGCTTCATTAGGATTCCTATAATGCTTAATTGCCGCCTGGTCTCCCGCTGGCAGCGCGGTACCGCCTCCTCACCATAATTAGTCTCCGTGGGGACCCCTTTCCATCTTAGTCAGTCCCTGTCCAGCAAGCCGAGGCCAGGCTGGAGAGGAGGGCCCTGAGAACCCAGCGGCGTGATCCCTGACCTCAGCGCGGGGCCAAGGTCAAGGCCAGACTTCCTGGCCAGACCCGAGTGGGACCTCAAGGCACCCTCTCATCTGTCCGGTTCCTGGAATGTGAGCCCAGCTCCTAGAATGCAGAACTTCAAGGTGAAGAAGAGCCCTGGGGTTCGGCACCTGTGTGCAGCCTCCGGCAGCCTAAGCCACTCCTTTAAATGGTCTGAAGGGTGCTGGGGAAATGCCCCATCTGGAACCCGGGGTCCCTGAGAGCTGCTGTCTGCTCTTAGGTCCCAGAAAGAGGCTCCAATTTTGCAGAGACTCCTGGGAAGCGGTCAGGGTCAGGCAGACTGTGCCAAGTGCCCTGCCAGCGCGGGAACACTTTGGAATGCGGGATGTATGTCCAGGGCTTATTAGGACTCCACCTTGTCGGTGGAGCAGACACAGAAGTATAGCATTAAGAGGGTAAAAGGAAAGGTGGAGGAATAGGAATTCTCCAGACAAAAGCTGGGTGAATGATGCCATGGAATTTCTCATGATAAGCCAGGGTCCCTAACTTCACCTCTTCTGGGTGGCCTTGCTCGAAGGACAAGAGAACATATCCTTGATCCTGGCCCAGAGGTGTCACTTGGCCCCAAGAAATAGAAGGTTTAGACAACAACAGGAGCAGACATGAAATCGGAATTATAGTTCTCATGATTAGAATTTATTAAGCACCCACTGACACATACTCCCTCACACAGGGAATATTCAAAAGATAAAAGTCCCTGCCTGTCCTCAGAAAAATGTGGCCTCCAGTGCAGGTGTTCTTAACTCTGGAGTCCACTCACCTCAGTAGCTCTCTGGGGGAGTCTGTTGACTGCCTGAAGTTGTATGCAAATTTTTTTTTCATAGTCTCACTTGGTTGCCCAGGTTGGTCTCAAACTCTTGGCTTCAAGCAATCCTCCCGCCTCGGCCTCCCAAAGTACTGGAGTTGTAGGTGAGAGCCACCACGCCCAGCTGTTTGCAGTTTTGCTTGAGTATATACACAAGCATTTTCCTGAGGAGGTGGTGCCTGGGTTTCACTGGTATCTCAGAGAGTCTAGGACCTACAAAGAGGCTGGCATCCAGGCATTCGGATACCTATTTTGTAGGTCCAGCATGCTGTCTAACCACCTGCATCAGAATTACCCAGGATGCCTACATAGGAGCAGATTCCTATGCTCAGCAACCAAAACCTGCAACCAAACAACCTGAATCAATCTTTCAGGGGTGGGGCCTGGGATGTTCTGTTTTGCTGGAGCTCCCCAGTTGTTTTTGACACATAGCCAATGAGAAAACTATTGTCTGAGTTCACGAGTCCATAGCAAACAACTTATTGTGTCTGAGTCCTCTCCTTGGGAGAGATCCAGAGAGAGGCGGCAGTTCTGGTCTAGGCATGGGAATGAAGCCAGCCAGCCAGCCAGCCAAAGACTCAGGTGTTGTTTTGGTCGGATAATCCCATGACTGAGTTAATCCCTCAATGCGGGACTCCACCCCAAATCCACAATCTCCTGTCTCTCTAGACAAACCAGTCCCAGATCTTGCCTGGGCCCCGACAAGACTGACACATCTGCCCCTCCTCGCTTGCCCTGGGCCCACCTGGCTACCTCCCCTGGAAGATGATGCCGGAGACGCTGGGCCGGAAGCATACCTAGGGCTCTCCCTCAACCCGCCCCACTCAGGCCTCGCTCCTCCTCCATCTTCTCCCGCACCTCTGCCGGCAGTCCCTCGTAAAGGGTGTCTTCCACCAGGAGCCCCGCCTTCCTGAGCCCCCCACAGTTGCCGAGCTCTTCCGGCAGCGCCTCTAACCGGTTGCCCTTGAGTTCCAGGCGGCTGAGGGCCCTGAGGGCACCCACGTGGGGCGAGAGCTGGCCCAGGTGGTTGTAGCCCAAGAGCAATGTCCGCAGCTTGCGGCAGAAGAACAGCTCATCGGGCAGGGCCTCGAGGGCGTTGTAGGAGAGAGCCAGGTGCTGCAGGTTCTGGAGAAGGCCCACCTCAGGCGGCAGGGAGCGCAGCCCGTTGTGGGACACGTCCAGCAAGCGGAGGCTGGAGCATAGTCCTAGCTGGCTCGGCAGGGTCTCCAGCTTGTTGTGGCTGAGATGGAGCTGCTCGAGCCCCCGGAGCTTGCGCACGTGCTCGGGGACGTAAGCGATCTGGTTGTGCCACAGCCTGAGGGTGACCAGCTTCCGGCAGTGCTGGAAGCTGAGGATCTCCTCGATGGAACGCAGGTGGTTGTCCTTGAGGTCAAGTTCCTGCAGCGCGCCCAGGCTGAAGACGGCGTGCGGGATGCGCTCCAGCCCACAGGCCACCAGCTCCAGCTCCCGCAAGGCCGCCAGCTTCTTGAGGCTGTTGAGGGCCAGCAGGCGGGCCCCGTCGTTGTGCAGGCTGAGCCGCTGCAGGTGGCCGGCCACGTCGGTCACGCTGGCCGGCACCTTCCCGGCGTTGCTCCGCAGGGACAGAACCTTGAGTTGCTTCAGCTCCCGGAGGCTCTCGAGGGTGGCCGCCCGCGCCAGCTCTGGGGGGAAGAGCCCCTCCAGGTGCAGCTCCTCCAGGCCCCGCAGCCCAAACACCCAGAGGGGCACCTCTCGGAGCTCCTCGCATTTCACCCGCATCACCTTCAGGCGGTCCCGCAGGAAGACCTGCAAGGAGAAAGGCAGCCTGGCGGGCGAGTGCAGCAGGCTGAGCTCCTGCAGGTGCACGAGCTGCGACAGCCCCGGCGGGAAGGTGACCTCGCAGACGGCCTCCAGCCGCAGCGCCTCCACCTCGCTCAGCTCGAAGACGGTGTCGGGCAGCCCGGGCAGCATGCAGAGCGCCAGCTCCAGCCGGCCCCGCGCGTTGCGCTGCAGCTTCTGCCGAAGCTTCTCGGGCGTCCACTCGTGGTTCAGGTTGAGTTGCTTGAGGCGGCTTTCGCTGACCTCGGAGAGGAAGACGGCGAAGCGCTTGGAGTAGAGCGAGTCGTACTGGTCGATGAGGTGCAGCATGAAGGCGAAGTCGTTCTTGACGTCGGGGATGTCACCCATGCCCGTCTCCTCGCGCACGGACCGGAAGGAGTACTCCTTGAGGGGCCGGTGGAAGAGCCAGTAGAGCGTGTAGATGCAGGTGAGCCCATAGATGCCCACGAAGGAGATGTAGCAGAAAGCCAGCTTGGAGAAGAGGTGGGCCTTGGTGTGGTTGCAGCAGAAGCTGGCGTAGCCTGTCACCTCCGAGGTCTCCACCCTGCAGGCCACCAGGAAGCTGATCTTCTCCACGTAGACCAGGTTGTAGACCAAGATGGCGAGGAACTTGCACACTTTGAGCACGGTCTGCCGAATGTACATGGTGTAGAGAATGTCCCCCTCTTCGACGTGCACGCGGAACTTCTTGACCTTCTCGAAGAGGGCTTTGGCCTGCTCGCCCTCCTTCTTGTCAAGCAGGGTGACAACCGGCGGCTCCGTCACCACCTTCTCGGGCTCCGGCAGCACCTTCTCCTTCTCGTCCTCCCCGGCCTTCCCGGGCCCGGCCCCCGCCGCGGCTGTCGTGGTTGCTGTGGGCCGGCCAGCGGCCTGGCCCTTCTGGTTCTCCCCGGAGACCTCTGACAGGGCCCGCGTGGTCCACGGCGAGTCGAAGCACTTACCCAGGATGGAGATGAAGTGTTCGATCTTGGAGCTGGTGCCGGGGAACTTGAACCAGAAGCTGGTGCAGACCATGAAGATAAGCGTGTGGATGACCACGAGGTAGGGGAAGTACTTGGCGTACCAGTGCAGGGCTGTCTCGTAGCACAGCTGGTTAATGAAGCTGTACTGCTGTAGGTCTAGATTGTTCTTGAGGCCGCTTACCTCCCGAAGGCCCCCCATCTGCTCCGAGACCCCCTGAGGCAGCAGCTGCTGGCACGGGGCCTCTGATAAATTTTCCCGGGGCTCATGGCTGGGCAGACAGATGATCTTGTCCTGTGTCACCTGGGGAGCAAACACGAGTGAGTGAGCTGAGGAGAAACACACTGAAGGGGGGAGACCCCCATCCCTGACTGTCGGCAGCCGGCTGTGACTTTGGAAGAGGCTTCGTCTGAATAAAGGGAGTGGATGGAATTGTGTTCCCCCCAAAAGATGCCGAACTTCCAGTTCTTGACCCTTGTGAATATGGCCCTATTTGGAAAAAGGATCTTTGCAGAGGTAATCAAGTTAAGACGAGGTCATTAGGGTGGACCCAGGAGGGCTGTGCTTTTACAGAAAGGGGAAATTTAGGCATAGACACACAGAAATGAAGTGAACACAGGGAGAATTGCATTTACAAGCCAAGGAACAACTGGGGCAACTAGGATCTAGGAGAGACAGAGGCATGGAACAGATTCTCCCTCACTGTCGACTGACAACTTGATCTGAGACTTCTGTTCTCCCAGAGCCAGAGATGATGCATTTCTGGTGTTTCAGCCACTCAGTCTGTGCTACTTTGTTCCAGCAATCCTTGCAAACTCATGCAGTAACTGCAGTCCTTTCTAGATTCCAGGGATAAAACTGAGTATGATGAAAGTATGGGGCCACGCACAGTGGCTTATAACTGTAATCCCAGCACTTTGGGAGGCCAAGGCGAGAGGACTTCTTGAGGCCAGGAGTTTGAGACCAGCCGGGCAACATAGCAAAACCCCATCTCTACAAAAAAATTTAAAAATTCAGCTGGGCATGGTGGCACATGCCTGTAATCCCAGCTATTTGGGAGGCTGAGGTGGAAGGATCACTTGAGCCCGGGAGTTCAAGACCAGCCTGGGCAGCATAGCCAGACCCCATATCTACAAAAATTAAAATTAAAAAGTAGCCGGTTGTGGTGGCATGCACCTGTAATCTCAGCAACTTGAGAGGCTGAGGCGGGAGGATCGCCTGAGCCCTGGAGTTCAAGACCAGCCTGGACAACACGGCGAGACCCTGTCTCTAAAACTACAAACACAATTATTTTTCGAAAAAGTATGGAACCCCACAGGAATGCCAGGGGTACTCTGGTGCTGCTGGCAATGAAGCTGGGGAAGCCAAACGATCTGAATTAGTGTGTACCTTCAGCTTCCTCTCTTCCCCTCCTTGGGTAATTGAAAGGCTCCGCTCGGTGGCTCAACCTATAATCCCGCGCCTTTGGGAGGCTGAGGTGAGTGGATGGCCTGAGCCCGCGGGTTCGAGACCCACCTGGGCAGCGAGACCTCATCTCGACAATAAATTTAAAAAATCAGCCGGGCGTGGTAGCGCGCGCCTGTAATTCTGGCTACTCGGAAGGCTGAGGCAGAAGGATCGCCGGAGCCCGAGGCAGAGTGAGACTCCAACTCAAAAAAAATGAAAATAAAAATAAATAAAATAAAATAAAATAAAATAAAAACAAAGAAAGGCTCCGGGGTTTTCCCAGGCTCGGGCCCCGCCCCCCGCCGGCCCCGCCCCCTGGCCAGCCACATCTTTCACCTGGAGGGTGCAGCCGAAGACTCCGATCATGAGCATGGCCACGGTGAGATACTCAGCCAGCACGTCCCACCAGGGCTTGAGCACCTTGAACGCGGGCTGCTGTTCCGCGAACTGCTTGAACTCGGCCACCGGGATCATCCTGCCTATGGAAGAGGGGGACACAGGGTGGAGAGAGACCACCAGGAAGCAGCGCAGGAGGGCGGGGCGCGCAGGGGAGGGGCCGTGTCCTCAGAGGAGCCAGACACAGACTTGCACTCCCAGTTCCCTCTGGCCTTGCCCAAACCTGGCAGAACCCCCAAGATATGTGCACCTCCCCCTTAGCCTGGTCTCGGTTTCCCTCAATACCTCAGCTTCTGCCCAGAGTCAAGCAGCCACTGTTCTGGAGTCTCCAGCACCCCGCCCGCAATCTGTCTTCTCGGGGGGGGCAGTCCTCAGGGCCACTGTCCCCCAGACTCCCCAAACACAGGCATTTCCCTCCCACCCTTGACTCCAAGGCCTAAAAGCACCCACTCTGGTGCTCCCTGACTGCAGACACTCAGCGTCTGGGCCAGCGCCCGGCTTCCACAGTCACCAGACCTGAGAGTGTCCCAAGGCTCAGACTTCCGGGGCGTGGGCCTCCCACCCCCTCCAGGAGCGCTCCAGGCACCACCTCCAACATCCAACCGGAAAAGCCGGCTGGAGCTTGGCTCCGGTTACCAGGGCCCAAGGGCCAGGGAGTGGCCAAGATGCTAGCTAGTCAGCCCAGGGCAGTGGGGCGGGGACAGCAGGGACCTGGACGCCTGAGTTTCTAAAGAGGGGTGTCAGGACGGCAGAGGAGCAGAGGACTTCCAAATGGAAAGGTGTCAAGGTGACACCTACGACTGGGATGGGGCTGGACTGCCAGGCTTCAGGCTGGCCAGTCCACTCTGTCTGTTCCCGGGCTTCCTTTTAGACCAAGGTATCATTATTGCAGATACAGGCGGGCCAGGCATGAATCACAAGTTGGGACGTTACTCTCCCAGGCTGGTAGCCGCTTCCCCAAGGCTGGCAGGCAAGGAGACAGGGCGCATGGCACAACCCATTCCTGCCAGCATCTGAGCTCCCCCAATCTACACCCTGTTCCTGGGAGCCTTCAGTCCTTCTCATCCAGATGACCTGTTGCTGGGCACAGGTGGGGCCACCAACTGCTTCTCTCTGGCTTCCCATCCAGCTCCCCAGGAAGAGTCTAGGGAAACCCTGGCCCCCAACCCACACCTTAGCCAACCGCTCCTACACCTCCATGCCTCCCTTTTCAGTCCCTATGTCCCCCAAGGCTTTGGGGTGACTCCTGAGTGTGGCCCTGCCCACCAGGCTGAGGGGTCCGCAGTCTACAATGACCAGGCCCCTTGACCCCCTCAGAGGTGCTCACCTGAGCCTAGGGATCAGCAGACAAGGGGGCAAGCAAATCTGCCCACACAGGGACTCTAGGCAAGCCCCAAATGTCGTGGGTCCCCTAACTCCAGCCCTGGCTTACCCAGAACTAGACACATGCAAAGGGGGTGCCGTAACATAGGATCCCTTACACAGTGGTCCACCTTTCATGCTCACATGCACTTCCTGTCCTAAGCAAAAAGCCCAGTAAAAATGTCCCAGGGCAGGCTGGGTGTGGTGGCTCATGTATGTATAGGAGGCTGAGGCAGGAGGATTACTTGAGCCTGGGATTTCAAGACCAACCCGGACAACACAGTGACACCTAATCTCTACAAAAAGAAAATATATCAGGGCATGATGGCACCTGTAGTCCCAGCTACTCAGGAGGCTGAGGAGGGAGGATCACTTAAATTCAGGAGTCCGAGGTTGCAGTGAGCTGTGATCATGCTACTGCACTCCAGTCTGGATGACAGACCAAGATCCTGTCCCTCCCCCCAAAAAAGGTCCCAGTACATCAATCAGCCCCAGTTACCAGTATCTAATCTGGAGGAAACCCACCCAGGGCAGCCCAAGAGTTCCTAGGGGAACAATGTGTATATTGCAACCACCAAAAGGAACACCTGGGGCTGGGTATGGTGGCTCACACCTGTAATCCCAGCATATTGGGAAGTGGTGGTGGGAGGATTGCTTGAGCCAGGAGTTTAAGACCAGCCTGGGCAACACAGGAGACCTCACCTCCACAAAAAATTAAAAAATTAGCTGGGCAGGGTGGTACATGCTTGTAGTCCCAGATTCTTGGGAGGCTGAGGTGGGAGAATTGCCTGAGCCGAGGTGGTCAAGACTGCAATGAGCTGTTATTGCGCCATTGCACTCCAGCCTGTATGACAGTGACCCTGACTCAAAAAAAAAAAAAAAAAAGCCAAGCCAAGCACGGTGCCTCAGCACTTTGAGAGTTGGAGGCGAGGATTGCCTGAGCTCAAGGATTGGAGACCAGCCTGGGCAACTTGTCGAGGCCCCATCTCTGCAATAAATCAAAAAATAAGCTGGGTGTGGTGTCACACACCTGTAGTCCCAACTGCTCGGAAGGCTGAAGTAGGATTGCCTGAGGAGGTCGAGGCTGCAGTGTGTCACTGCACTCCAGCCTGGGAAACAGAATGAGATCCCAACTAAAAAAAAGGGGGGGGGGAACAATACCTGGGGGCATGTTGGAGCATGCACTTTTGTGCATGAAAGTACAAAGTCCTAACACCCAAACACACTGAGCTGAGGAGAGATCCAGAACCCTCTTTCAGTTCTGGACACCCACTGTGTCCTCAAATGACCCATTCAAGGGATTCTGCTCTGTTGCTTTACCCAAGAAGGTGACTCTGAGGGCTGTGGCAGAAGACACACACATATACACACATTCGTACACATGCGGGCAGGGACCAACTCCCAGTCCTTGACACCCCCTGCCGTCCTGGATACACAATCACAGACAAGAAGGTAGAAACGCTCAGGGGGCCATGCAACAGCCCAGTGGCTCCCACGGAACAAGGTGTATACAGAGACAGAACCCAAGGCAGACGCAGGGGTTATCATTATCTGTCTCCATGACTCAAACTTGATTGTCCCAAACCTGTCATTAAATTTCCACAGACGTGAGGCAGGCCACCCCCGTTGTCTGAGCAGCGCCAGTGGGATGACCCAGGAGGGGGGGGCTCGCAGAATTGGGGGAGAGGCAGGAAAAATACCACCACAGGGACTACACTTGACGCTGGTACAGATGTTCTCAATGTCTCGTTTGATCCCAGCTGGGTGAGTGTGGGTGTCGCGGCCTTTGTTTTCCAGAGTGGAAACTCGCTCAAACTTTCACGGTCCCAAGTGGCAATCGAGGCCTAGCTCCTTTGACCCCCGGGTCTGTTTGTGGGACTGAACTCACGCGGTCCCTTCTTGGGAGGGAACCTCTCAGGAGATGCAGCGACTTTGCCCAAAGAACCTGACACACCAGGCTGGGAGGTCTTGCAGCCTAGGACCACACGCCCCCCCCCCCCCGGCTGGACTTCTCCCCCCATGCCTCACACCTCCGTCCCTCTCAGCCCCTTCTCCAGGGTGTGCTTTCAAAAACATGGTGGGGAATTTCTGCCTGGGGAGCGCGTGGGAGATTGACACCCCCACCCCCACCCGCAGCCCAGGGTAAAGGGTGAGGAAGAAACAGCCCAACCTCTGCCTTTTACACAAAGGGGAAACTGAGGTCTAGGGCGCGGTAGGGTGGCCCCTTAGGGGCCCACTCCTGCCAGGGCCCAGGCCTGGGGGTTCCCAGCCTAGTACTTTTCCAAGCTGCTGCTTCTAGCAGACTTGGAGGTCTGGGCAGAGCCCCGGAAGGCAGGCTGGGGGGCACCCCAAGTGGTCCGGTTTCGGGGCTCTGGGCGGCTCTCGGGGAGTGGCTGCAGCTTTCCCAGAGGCCAAGGAGAGGCGAAAGGGATCAGGACCTCCAAGGTCGACCCCGGCCTCTGAACTTTACTTTGTGACTGGCTGGGTCTACCTGGCTCCCGGGACGGGCAGCCCTCGGGCCAGGCCTCCGTGTGCGCGACCCCCGCCCCCCCAGCTCCTCCTGTGCGTCCTGGCGGGCCCGGGCCGCGGGGCCAGCACACCTGGGGAGGGTCCTCCCCTCGTCAGACCCC